GCAAACGATGGAGTACCAAACGAAGACATTCCGACAGATTCAAATGGAAACATTATCTTCTGCGGACACGATGGCAATAATTGTAATCAACATCACACTATGGTTTGAACAGATCCACTTGATAGCGGCTGACGTGCAGAGTGGAAGCTCCTTAAGAATGCCTTACTTGGGGCTGCTGCTGAATTATGCCATTTCAAATAGGCTAGCATGTGGGTCAGAAATGAATTTCTAACGGATACCGGCAGTTCAGCTAGCTGTCTGAGAGAGAGCGGTACATCTAACATGTGGGGGAAACAAAGCTTTAAACTCGAGTGATCAAAACAAATACTGATTAATAAGAAAAGTTCGGTGATGTGCTGCAGTCGAATTCAGAGACGGCAAATAAGATACTCTATGATACCATTCTTGCTAAGGATGAGAATGAGCTTCGGCAATAAGAGAATACTTGGAGGAACTTCTAAACACCGAGCAACTGCAGAACACGCCTGAAAAGCAGCAGGCAACGGATATTAGTCTTTCAGTAGCAGAAGTCACATAGGCTGGAGAAAGATTGGTAATCGCCAAAGTTGCTTGAATCGATGAAATACGCGGGGAGATGCTTAAAGATTCAGGCAAGCAAAGCACATTGTGAATAATACGTCTGTCAGACAGCAATAACTACGGGAAAGACATCGGTAGGCTGGAGAACTGGAGTGGTATTACCTTTGATTGAGAAGGGAGACCACCGAGACTGCTCTAATTATACCGGCATTACATTACTGCGCCTCCCGGGAAAAGCTTATGCAAAGCTGCTAGAAAGGTGCCACAGAATAACTGATTTTAAGAGACAAGAAGGGCAGTGTGGCTTTCGGCCAGGTCGAAGCACCTCTGACCATATAATTGCCCTACGCCAGATTGATGAGAAATCGTGGGAGTTCGCCCAGTCCGGTGTACATGTACTTTGTTGACTTAGAAAAAGCCTAAGACTGGATCCAGCGCAACAGTAGATGGGCATGACTGCGAACATATGGGATTGATGGCCAGTTGCCACATGCCATCTAATCACTATTATCGGATAGCAGATGCGCATTAGAGTAAATGACGGTCAGTCGAGACTTTTCAGCGTTGGCAGTGGTCCCCGCCAAGACCGTTCTGTTCCCTCTGCAATTTGTGTTGTACATGGATAGAATAATAAGGCGCAGCCAAGGCGATGAGTGTCAGGGTAGAAGATGTATTTAAGAGAAATTTCTTGTTTACAGATGACCTTGTTTTGCTGGCATCTTCTGAAACTGATTTCTAGAGCTCTTTGAAAAGGTTCCAGCCGAGTGCGACGTTGTCGGCATGCGTGTGAACGTGTCTAAAACGAAATGTCTATTGTTATTACGTTGTTCAGGCAGTTATGCTATGGAGAAAAATGGAGAAGTGGGACAGGTGAAGTTCACGTACCTCGGGGCTGTTTTCACTAGTGATGGAAAATTAAAGGGAGAGATCGATCAGATGGCTAATCGATTGGATTAACCAGTGGTCTTCTGCGTGAACTAGCTCGAACCGGTGTGACTAAAATAAGCTGGGTCTGAAGACTAATATCGATGTGTTCAAGTCGATCTACATCTCGATGCTTACCTGCGGTCGTGAGTTGTAAACCACGACTGAAAAACTTGGATTCCGGATGCAAGGACTGAAACGGCCTTGAGACGAATCGCTAGGACCATGTGTCATAAAGACCCGAGTTGGGAAATTCAGCAGAGTCATGACGTACAATCACTATTTAACCAAACTGAGAACTCACAGCTGAGATTATCCGGTCACGTCTTAGGAATGCTTCTAGACAGGAAGGCAAAACAGCTATTATTTGCTCAACCGATCGACTGAAGACCCTGAAAACGGCCAAGAATGACCTGAGGCAATTGCCTCGAGACGCTGCTCCAGACTGATCCTCTTTTGTCGCAGATGAAACGCTGGCACTGGATGGGCAACGTTGGAGACAGTGCGTGTTGAATTTCTCGCCGTGACCCGAAAAAATGAGTGGTCACTGAAATTCACAGGTATAAACCAAAAAGTCTGGCAACGTAAGTATCACGAAACTAAAGTTCGCACAAAATAAAGAATAGAGTTAATGACTAACGAAGTAGAAACTTGTTCTTAGCGGTTACAACATGGAATTGACTTGATTTCAAGAGGTCTGGGTCGTAGTGGCTTGACAAGGAATTCTCAACAATTAATTCTTTTTTCAGTACTGACGTCATGAAGAAAATCTCATGCATAATAATGAATGTGCTCTGCAAATAGGTCGAGAAGTCTAATACCTCGATAGCAAGTCACAAGTGACAGCTGGAAATTCATAAATTCACTTAGGTGAGAGGAGAGGATTAATGTGGTAGGTAAACGATACTGTGGTGATGAAAAGAGTTGAACAGTAATGCGAAGTTAGGTGCGTTAAGGGACGTCAAGCCTTATTCTAAACCCATTACTAACGGTGTAGGATACAAATCGAAAGAATGCTATCTCGCAGACAGGAAGCAGAAATGACATCCCATCGAAAAACTGTTGATATGATGGGAATGACAAGCTTCGGGAACCTGCCAGTACAATGCACTTCGTGTGTACTCTTGCAGCAAATAAAATAATCGACAACTGCAAGTACTGGATTGATTTGGGTACTGATACAGATGCCAAGGGAGAGTCGTCGGCCAGGTCCTCCGCGCCATATAACATGGTAATACACCAAGTTGTAGTCTGAGAGCTGATTGCTGGGATATGCTACGCATCTGAGACTAACCCTATTGTGTGTCTGACAGGCGAAAGCAGATATGATTGGAAGAACAGCCTGAAGATGTTTCATGCGACAGGAAAAAGTCAGCGGACAGTGAAAGCAAAAAAAAACGTATGTTGAAGATTTAATACCCATCAGCATAAGACCGATTTGTCAGGCCATTGACTTAAAACTAACTTTCAGTGTTGATATCAACCTGCAACCTGCAGAGCGGTGAATAACGCCTAGCCATTTCGATGGTAATTGCTGAATAAATGATTCCTGAACGCTCATGGAACGCTTCTATGTAGATGACGGCTTGATTTCACTTCTCGCATTCGCAGCTCACAAAAGGTTAAAACAGTGTGCGAATGTATTTGCAGAGATGTAGCTTTCTACATGACGCCAACCAGATCGTCTGGTCACTCTGCCTATTCGACGAAATCCATCCACTTGAAACACAGGAACTGCCTTACTGCAGTCTTCCAAGATATCATGGTTCAACTGGAACCAAGCTTCTAAGCCATAAAGCAGAAGATCATTATTAATGAACAAAATTTTGTGCTCAAAGCTGTAATTTTCAAAACGATTTGGACTCCTGTAATTTGTATTAGCCAAAAGTGCACTGTCTGAACTGCAAAAATGCTCTGGTTTGTATTGTTTGGCTGCTCAGTGTTACTGTTACAGTTGATTTTACAGCATCGAGGCAATGAAACAGCGTTTTTCTAGGGCTGTACGACATAAAACTTAACAACTGCACATTTGAAACAGCATGGCGTGCAAGTAGGTGAGTTCGAATCGCTCCGAAACTGAACGACGTCACCTGTGCAGTCTAGATCAGCGAATGTGGAGACAGATGTCATATCCAGGGTTGCATGTCGCATTCTGCAAAATCCTATCAATCTTAAAGCAAAAATACGAGTATATAGCCTTGCATGATTTTGTGGATAAGCACGCGGAGGAAATTTCTGGCGTATATGTATTTGTTAAGCGGCTGAAATAAAAGTTAATTTCACCATGCCTGCCTGTTAACCAAGTCAACTGCAGCTTCGGATATCCACAAAGGTCACGTCCGATAGCAGGCGTTGGCTATCTCTACATTTAAGTACCAGAAACAACAGTCGTATATATGCTGCTAGCCGTCGAACCCTGAACTAGTGCAAGCCACAAATTTTGTTTAGAAGATAAAAGCAATTTTTAACTGCTTAATCAATTGCATTGCATATCTGATCATCTGCCACTGTCGTCCGTTTGTCCCGATCCTCGAGGCATGTAACTGCGCTATATACTGCTGCAGTTCCTAGAAAAACTACCAAGTGGGGTTTGATCGGCTTACGTGCGATACAGTTCAGTCAAACGTTTTGCTCTGAGTGGGTGCTGCTGTAGCTGGCAGATATGATTAATTCACAGTACGTCTGTTCAAGTACGTCTGCTCACGGCGTTTTTCAACGTCGACGCCTGTTATATGTACCAATCGCACGACTTTCCGCTATGGCACGGCTGCCGCGTCACTTGATGACAACACGCTATTTATTATTCGGCTAACCACGACGACAATACGCAGTCCTTCGCTTGTTTATCAACCAACGGCCAAACTTCACCTAGGAAATGATCAACATTTTAATCAGCAGCTGAGCGCTGTCGGTGCCGTTGCTGCTGTGTTCCAATGTCAGCTGCACGCAGAACGACAAGGGCACATTCATTCGCTACAATGGAGTACCGCAGAAGATCATCGGTCTGCTAAATGACTGTGCTAAACTCGCCATCCGAACAAAAGAGTCGTTGTCGGACTAGTTTAATAGTGGAATCGACAAAATGAGGTGTTTTCACCTCTACTATTCAACATGTCGGTGGATTGTGTGATGCGGAGGAGTGTCGTTCCAACAAAAACGAGAGATTTACCATCAGACTACGACTCAGCCGAAGGTACCAAACAGTACTCGTAACAGATCTCGAGCATGCTGACAACACTGCACTGCTGAGCGACTCCGCCAATGGCTTATTAGCACTAACTCGAGAAGTGTGCAAGATGGCCTTGACGGTAGGCCTAGACGTTAATTCCACCAAAACGAAGATCTTGCGAGCACCCGACTCGACTAACTATTCAAATATTCAGTTCAGTGAAATGACCATCGAAGTCGAAAACTTCAAGTACATCGGCTCTGTACCGGCAAGAGACACAAACGGCGATATGGAAACGGCGCTTAGGGATGGCATCTGTGAACTTCGGGAGACTTTCTAACGTGCAGCAAGATCGATCTATCCGAGCAGCAACAAAGATCACCATATCGAAAACCGCAGCACCACCATACTTCTCAATCCTCCTTGAAACATCAACACTTTAAAGTGCCATGAAAACATGCTGGATACTGCTCAGCGGCGGTGTCTGCGGAACAGTCTGAAAGTGCGATGGTTACGTCGAATTAAGAATGAAAAGATCTTGGATACGACTGATCTGAGAATGCTGTCTCAAGAAATCAGGGCCAGCGGCGTGTCTTGATCGGGCAGAACCATCTAGAAAGAGAACGGAGACTTATCAAAAACGATTCTCCTCTGAGAAGCACAAAATAACCGCAGACACTAGAGTGAAACATCATACTCTAAACTAAAGCAGCTGTTAGAGGCGGACTTGCTTGCGACGAACAACATGACCTTTGCAGCAGCAATCAAAATCGCATAAATCATTCTGAAAAGCTAAAGCGTCAGACATCATTCACCTGGGTACTCAGTCTTTGTACCTGACACCTTAGATGACGATGACAATGAATTCATTTTTTGTCAATCCAACAGAATGAACAGAATTTTCACTGTACCTCTACTGCTAAGGTGGCATCTGTCAAAGAACTGGCCAAAATCAGGCTCAAGTAGTTTGCGCATGCAGAAGTAAAACCTGTTGGCAATGTGAGAAAATGAAACCAGAGACCAAATAAAATCAACAAGTTAATAAATCTTATTCGAAAAGTAGACGATGCATATAGGAGTTATGCTAAAAACAACGAGTTCCTCCATTTGCTACGCTGAAGCCACTACTCCTGACAGGATGCAGCAAACAATGGTTGACAAAATTATCATCTGTGCATTTCAATTCGACAGAGTGAGAATCGTTGAGCAGGTTCTCCTCCATTTTTCTCCATTAAATTTCAGAGCCACTCCAGAATCGTTGGTAGGTAATCATTCAGGTTACACTGCGAAAGATTTTGGTGGATTTTTCATGCATATCAGGCATGCTCTAAGAATCGATTCCCAGCTGCGATATTACCAAGTGTTCAATCCGCCCGAGTCATCTAGGTTTGCGAATCTCCCAACGCTTGGAATGCCACTTTAGCACGATGACAGTTTGAGCATCTTATAGACGCTAAAGGCATTGCCGGATGGAACATCGAAATTTGCTCAGGACAGGCTATGCGACACTGTCTGAAAGGTAGAAATGTGGGAAGAATTCCATCCCAGACAAGGGTTAGGTCGGGAAAAAATGATCATACCGTATCATCCTTCGCCCATTTTAACAAGGGATGCATTCAAAGCTTAGGCAAATGGGTACATCTGAAAATCCCGCTACAGTCTCTTCCCTTGTTCATACATGGCAGCTAGCTAGGCTGACATGTTATAATATCAGTAAATCTACTATCAGTTTAGGATGACAAGTGGGAACAGAGGAAACTATTTTAAAAGGATCTTACGAGGACCAAAATGGAACCGGCAAAACAGCGAAACGTCAGTTCAGGAAAATGACAGAACAACGAGATGTACGCGAAATCTTATCAGTCAAGCGTAGCAAGTCCGATGTTCCCGACTTCGAAAATGGCGCCTTCCTACCAGTAACTGCAATAATCAGTTAACAGATCAAACCCTGCCAACCGCGGTCTGGTTCCTGCTATGTCATTTGCCTGCCAGTGATTCTTATATGGTGCTGACAAAGTACACTGGGAAGTTGATACTGACTCAGCCTCAGTTTGTCTGCCTACAGATCCCAGCAGACACTATTTGAACAGAACAAAATAACAGACCTGGCAGTGGCACGGGAAGGGTGTCCATGCCCTTATATTTTATAAATAAAACCCCCTCCGGACTGACCATTTATGGGTTGTAAATCGATAGACCTGTATTGTCAACATAGCGGCTGAAAAAAAGCATATACCTTAGCACTTTACTATAATGAAACACTTCATACTTTCATACCACTTTCCAGTATGCACTTTCTGGGCCGTTGGTCACCCTCCATAAAGCTGAAAGACTACTGTTAACCCTTGGCTTTTAAACGAATCTCACTTCACAATGCATTATGAGCTTCAACTTCTCAAATTTAAAGTAAACTTAGTTTTGTTTTACTGTTAACGCCTAAACAGATTTGTTTGCTCTGTTTCCTTTATGTCAAACTGCGTTGTACGTGGGCAAATTATGAGCGAGCATAGACGACGTTGCATAATGACATAACAGGTTAAACGGTACGAAATTTTATGAAAACTGAAGTGCATTGGAAAAATAATTTATAATTCACCGTACTGTTAATCGCTGCAAAGTGCATGAGACCCGCGGTGAGCTTCGCCACACGGACACCAGGATTAAACTCGGTGGCACCGAACAGCGGCAGTGGAAGTAAAGTTGGCTTTGCTTTGAGCAGATTTTCCGGTCCCAGTCCTATTATACCAAAGCCCCACACATGAACTTCACCTTCGGCTAAAAAGTAAGCGATAGCTAAGGAAGCAGACGTCAAAGAATAAAAATAAACTTGTTAAAAGTGCACACGCGGATCCACCAACTGCAACCTGTTTCACTCGACCGACATTCAGTTTCAAGTGTCGCGGGGTGGACACCTAAATTTCAACATTATTTAAAGCAGAAAATAAAACTTAAGCATTTTCGTTCATCACCTGCCTGTTACGTTTCAGCCTATAAAAGACAAAAGAAAGGACAACCAAAGAATAAAACACAGCGTCACCAGAAAGTTCAGCAGTTTCCATACACTTGAAGTTAGATAGGAACAGGATGTGGAAACGCTTGGCTTGGTCCTTCGCAAACATCCATGATGGGCACTATTTGTGGTCCTCTGAGCTCATGAAGCAAATGGTGCGGCGTTGATCTCCATTTCGATACCATCAGTCAAGAGTGACTTATTTTTTAAGGCAATATCAACAGTAGACTGGCCACTAGAGGTCATTATCAGCTTTACTCTCACGGAACATTTTTATCATTTATCGACTTCATGAAGAAGAAAGAATAATGAGCCGGTATAAATTCAAACCAGGACAATTCCACTGAGTTTATCATTCAACTGACTGAACTGTCATGTCTGCTGAGAACTGCAGATGATACTGTCACAGTCAAAGATCTTTCAGTAGGTGAGAAGTATTATCATATTTCTGGTACAGAAATGACCTCCCATGAAGGCCACGGTCTTTGCAAAGCATCTATACACAAATATGCACGGCAAATGTCAAAAAATGTCTGGCTTAACACGACGAAGCAGTTTTAAAGAAAGAATATACCGACTTTGTATGCAGCATTTAAAGAACTGCTAACTGTGCAGTAGAAGTCCTCAGACACC